TGAGAGCGGAGCAACATAGGGTGAGAGTGCTGGGCAGGAGAAATAGGACGAGCACAAGAGGCACGGTGAGACCACCAGCGGGAGGGGGGGGGTTGGATCAGGAGACAAGGGATGAGACACAGGACGAGAACGAGGGGGTAAATGAGCCGGGGATGAGTCTGCCGGAGGAAACACAGGGCCGTAGACAGGCAGGGGAGGCAGCCGCGGAAGAGGCGCAGGCGGTCGGTCGAGGGAGGGAAGAACCAGGAGGCGAAGGGCAGACACCGGCGGTGACTGCTGCTACTGCTGCTCCACGCTGACGTCAGAACCCTCAGCTGCAGCACAGCTACCTCCGAGATGCTCCATGACAGCACCCCCAGAACAAGAACCCTCTCTAGCACCTATGCTACCCCCAGGACCGCTGGGACAAGCCACAACAGTACCCGTAGGACTAACACTCCTTTTATCAGCGCCCCCAAAACGAGAACCCTCTCCAGCACCGGTGACACCCCCAGGACCGCCGGGACAAGCCACGACAGTACCAACAGAACTAGCACCCTCCTTAATGTCCGCACCCTAAGAGCTCGCGGATGCCTACGACGGCGGCGACTGCGGTTGCTGCTGCGGCTGCGACGGCGGCGACATCGGCTGCTGCCGCGACGACGACGGCGGCGACGTCGGCTGCTGCCGCGACGACGGCGGCGGCGGCTGCTGCGGCGGCGGAGGAGGAGACACTGGGGCTGAGACAGGCGGCAAAACTGGAGCCGCAATTCCCCGAGAGTCAGCTGGCAACTTCGGTACAGATCGCATACTGCTCGTGACCAGGAAACGTAGTGGTGACGCCAAGGTCCTGAAGACAGCCGACATTGATTAGGTTCCTGGAGAACGAGGTGATGTGCAAGCATGTAAGAGAGCCCGAGGGAACCTCCTAGCAGGGAAGGGTAGTGGAGTTACTGTACGTGCAAGTTCCGGACCTGAGGAGGGGTCACCAAGCGCGACAGCAGCAGGGGTGGTAGGCGGTGTAAGCGCAATGTGGTCGCGGAAGAAGCAGGCAGACGCACCTTAGTATAGCGCGAAGGAAAGAGCAACCGTACCGTCAGACGGTGAAGGAGCTAGCGTAGAGCCAAGGCTAAACAATGCAGGAGCTCTGATCTCTGACGTAGCAGAGGAGCCTAGAGTACACATAGGGGACACACCTACACTAGGCAACACATGCTAACACTAGAATCATCAGTATACATGGCATGCAAAGCAGAGCAAATCTGATCCATATCCATCTCAAAGACCGGCACACGGTGACGCACCAAAGTGAGCCAGTCGAGGAGGTCCGGCGCAAGGCCGAAGCAAAGACGGAAGAGGTCGTCGAGGCGGCGATAGCAACGGGTGGTGGTGTGACCGGTACGGTGACACACAGTGCTCCGAAGGGGGCCAGACTAGAGCTAGTACTGGCAACTCACAGAGCTGAAGCTGCCACCCGACGCCGAGCTGCGAGGGCCGCCACCGCGGCTACCACCACCAGAGCCGTAGGGCCACCCCGGTGGGAGGCGACCTCACTGCTGCTGCTGCTGCCACTTTTGCTACTGCGGTTGCTGCTGCTGCTGCTGCTGCTCCAGAGGATCAGCCCCGGTCAACTCGTCGGTACCGCCGGCACTTGCATCACCTCCACCACCACCGCTACCCCCACTACCCCTCTCTCCGCCACGACCCCCCTTGGGGTGGCGGCCCTTACCCTGAGGAGGCTGCGCTAAGGCTCCCGCGACAGCGGTCTCAACAGTGGGGGCTGTCCCAGCGACAGCGGTAGAAACGTCAGAGTAAGTGCACTGAGATGGAGCACAACCTTGGAAGATAGGGACCGCCGCAGTACCGCTGGACTGAGCGATAGTGCGATGGCGGGTCTCTATCGCAGACAGGGTGGTGACAAAGGCAGTAAGGGTGAGGTCACATGGGTGCTGACTAAGGAAGTGGTTGCGGGCAGTGGCGAGGCGGTCAGGAAGGCGCGTGGCAATGAGGTAAAGGGTAGCGCAAAGGGGAGGAGGGAATGCAGCGAGCTGGGCCTCAGTGCTATTAGCGCGGTAGCTAGTGTCAAGGGCGCGTAGATGAGTGGCAAGTTCAGCGACAGTGGGGAAAGACGCAAGATCATGGAATAGCATGGGGAGGATCAGACGGCTGGCAGAGGCAGAAGAGGGAGTGGAATAGCGTGCAATGACCGCATCTAAGTACTCCTTCGCATTTGCTACAGCCGTAAAGCGGGGACTGCTCAGACAGGGGGAGGGCGTGACTGATAGCAAGTTGTGCTACGGCGTCGCGCGACTCCCGGACAGTGCGTGCAAGCTCAGCAGTGGCAAAGGCCTCACACTCAGCAGACGTGGGGGCGTTAGAGAGAACAACAGGCGCATCGGGGCGGCGGAGCTTACCGTCGACATGGACGGCCTGGGAATAGACGTCCTGGCGCTGACCCATCAACTGACGGTGGAGGTCGACAAGCCACGCCTCAAAAGCAACCGCCCGACCCTCCGCGTTTAGGCGAAGCACAGCATCCGTCATCGCCGCAACTGCAGCGGCTGACGGTGACACGGCGGTACGGCGACCCAACGGCACGGCGACACAGAGGCACGGCGACATGGCGGCACCGCGACACGGCGGGACCGGGGCTGGCGCGAACTGGGGCCTGCGAGCCGGGGCGAGCGAGCTAGGGACCGGCGAGCGAGGGGCCGGTGAGCGCGGGGCCGGCGAGCACGGGGCCAAAGAGCTAGGGGCCGGAGAGCATAGGGTCGGCGAGCGCGGGGCTGGAGAGCACGGGGCCAGCGAGCACAGGGCTGGCGAGCTAGGGGCCGGCGAGCACGGGGCCCGCGAGCGAGGGGCTGGCTAGCGAGGGACCGGCGAGCGTGGGGCCGGCGAGTGCGGGGCCGGCAAGCGCGGAGATGATGAGCGCGGGGACGGCGAGCGCGGGGCCGGCGAGCGAGGGTCTGACGAGCGAGGGGCCGGCGAGCGCGGGGCCAGCAAGCGAGGGGCCGGCTAGCGAGGGGCCGACGAGTCCGGGGCCAGAGAGCGCGGGGCCAGCGAGCTACCGCGGCTAGGGCGGGCTAGGGCGGGCTAGGGCGGACTAGGGCGAGCTAGAGCGGCTAGTGCTAGGGCTAGGACTAGGGCTAGGGCGGAAGCGCGGGTGGACGGGGAGGGCCTAACCTAGTGTGATACCATCTCAGAGTAATGAATTGACTGGAATAGAAGGTACAAGGTAGTTTTGGGCTAGTGTTATCCTCTCTAAGAGCATTCACCTATCTAGCCTATAATAACATATGCATATATGTTTGACAGGGGTTGCCTTTGAGATCCTCGGAGAAGGATCACATGTGCAGAGCCTAGGGGGGTTATGGGCGCACTTACCCACTACTTAACAAGCCCTTCTAACTCAGTGGTTAGTGACTGAGTCTGACATGGTATCAGAGCCAAAGGTCTCGAGTTCAATTCTCGGTGGGCACTGTTGGAAGTGCCAGCGCTGCACAGGCGCTTGTGTATACCGCCTATCCCAACGAGGGGGGGTGTTAAGAGACACGATGGGGTTGCCCTTGAGATCCTCGGGGAAGGTTCACAGGTCCAGAGCCTGGGGATTATGGGCGCACTTACCTACTACTTAACAAACCCTTCTAAACAGTGGTTGGTGACTGAGTCTGACAGGATTTGCTGTGCATCTCGGTGAAATTTTAACTTGGTTGCACTTCCATCGTAGAGCAATGTAGCACCTGCTTGTTCGTGAACCCGAAGTTATGGTTGGAATGTCATAAAGTCACCAGTCCTAACCACTAGGATAAGAAGGGATGTCATCAAGAGGGTTAGGCTCCATATATCCACCTTCCCCAGGGAAAGCATCCCCAGTACCCTCCCTAGAGAGAGAGAGAGGATCGACAGGGTTATCCCAGTGCCACGAGACACCCCCCCGCTGGGATAGCGTGTACACCAGTAATTGAACCCCAGATGGCTCCAATACTATGTTATAAAGTCACCAGTCCTAACCACTAGGACAAGAAAGGATGTCATCAGGAGGGTTAGGCTCCATATATCCACCTTCCCCAATGAAAGCCTCCCCATTACCCTCCCTAGAGAGAGAGAGAGAGAGGATCGATAGGGTTATCCTAATGCCACAACGTGGAAAACCCAAAGTTGAGGCTCGGATGACATGACCTGAATGAGCCCCGAAATTACCCTAATGTGGCTTGTAGGCCTTGGGACAACAACATTACATCGTGTTCCAGCCTTGCAAACCCAAACGCCGTTATGCATCCTTAGGTAGCATGAAAACGTGCGGTACGATGAATGTCATCCATTTTATCGTTAGCATTTGAAAATTGTTTAGCGGCAAATCCCTCGCATCTAGAGATACCCGCGTCGAGCTGTTGTGGCGGCGTCGTCGTACCACCGGCCGTGTCGTGCTGCCGCGGCGGTCTCGACGCTGCTGCCGTGGCAGCCTCGTCGCGCTGTCGTGGCGTCGACGTCCAGCCGTGGCGGCGGCGTCGTGCTGTCGCGGCGGCGTCGATGCACCAGCGCACGAGCGGCAGTGGGCTGCGCAGCCGCATCCAGCCCGCCCGCACGCCAGTAAGCGCCGGGCCAGCCATGGCATCGCGCTGACGATCCGCCCCCCCACCCCTTCCCCCTTCCCCTCCTTTGCCTTTCCCTTCCTCTCCGTCGCAGCTGCTGGCGACCTCGTGCCGTCCTCCCCCTCGTCGTCGCAAGTTGAGCCAAGCCGCCGTTGCCTCGGGTGCCACAGCCGCCATCGCCGCGATTGGTGCCAATAAATATATGTTATGAAGGTGCTAATGTGATGAGGGACTGCGGTGTCATACACAAGAGTGAAAAGGGTGATGATTGTTTGTATGCGTCGAGTAGACTGCAAATAATAGGAAACGATTTGTTAGTGTACCCGTCTCCGAGTTCTAGATGTTAGACCAGTTGGTCAGGGAAAGGACTTCGGGTACGGTATGACTCTTCAGTTCTCATCTCATCTCATGCGCACACTAGGCCTCTCTCCCGCCTAAATGTCAGATCCTCGCTCTAAACTTAGTTCATCTAAGATCATCGATACGTGCCGCGCATCGTAAACCGGGCGGCTGACTCCCAATGCATGTGTCGTTACGAGAGCATATGCGTCCAGCGCGAGTCACTCTAAGGTGGTAGCTTGGGCGAGAAGCTTTCCTGTTGGCAGCTCATTCCAGCTCACTTCGAAGGCCAGCCGTGGCGTTCCGCCTCATAAGTACGTCAGTTCGCCATCCCCATCTACGCAACTTCCGCTCCTATAATCGCGGCGTTCCGCCTGACAACTACGTCAGCTCACCATCCCCCTCTACGCAACTTCCGCTTCTAGAATCGTACCACCTCTTCACGTGTCATGATTTTGTATGCATGATCTAACCTACATGGGTTGCCATGAGCTCAGCTTTGCTGGTTGACAAACCATCCGGCCGCCTGCTTGACCAGTCAGCTAATCTCGTCTTGGCAGGACGGAAGATCTCCAGTCGCGTATCCATGTCGCGTGCCGTGCCTTTTGGGCGGCTACCGTGTCATCCGCGGAATGTGTTGGCGGCATGCTTTAGGGTTCGTGACGCAGCTGCCGCGATGAATTCTATGTCGTACAATCACGCGGGAAATCTCTCAAATGGAGGTCAGCTGCTCGACTTGATGACGATCATCTGGGCGGCAGCTGCGTGCGAGCCAGGCTAGCAAGTACCCTTCATGGGACGAGGAGCCGAGCGCACAGCTGAATACAACTCGGCACATCTCGGTACAGCTCGATGCAGCTCAGCACAGCGCAGCGCATGCGGCGGAAGTCAAGAGCAGCAGGCAATTCCAAAGGAAGTTGCGGCAGGCATGCGTCAGCAATCATGCGTCAGCAGGGATTCGAATCGTGCAGGAGCACCGTCGGTTCGCAGCACAACCGGTGTGACGCGCTCCGAGGTAGCAACCTCTGGTTGACTTTTGAGTCGACTCAAAAGCAACCTCAGGCTCAGGCTGCACAGCTGCTGTTCGTCACGCCGGTGTCACGACTGCAGTACAGACTGAAAGGAGACAAAGAGGAGGTAGCGGCTCATTACCCAGCCAGAATTCGCAGCTTTATCTGCTCCTGCGAGTTTCCCCGGAGGTGTATTTTCACGGTACGGTACGCGATCCTCCGCGTTCACCCGCACGACAGCCTACTGGGACCAGCCCTGTGTTAGGTTCTTGAGAATTCTCAAAGACCAGCCCTTGGCGCGGCAGATCCATGGCAGACCCTCCTGGTGCTGCTGCTGGTGCGCCACCCGGAACGGCTGAATCATGTTGGAATGTCGCTTCGGCTGCTCTGCCGTCGCAACAAGGCTTTCCGTACTCTGCCCCCGCAGCAATATTCCGCGAGCCTTTGGCTGTAGCACAGCGTGTATCCCCTTTACAAGCACCCCGGTCTATGGCTGTAGCACCGGAAGACTCCCTGCAGTGTACTGCCCAGAGTAACCTGGCTTGGAGCTTGAGTAGCTGTGGTAGCAGGAGGGCGCGTGAGAACCCTCAGCTACAGCCGCACGTGGAATACGATAAAGACCAACCAGAAACGAGGGTGAGAGAAAGAGTGGAGTTTGGGGTAGCGGCAGCAAAAGATGTTTGGGAGGGGTGGGGAGTAGAGCTGTGGAGAGGAGGGAAATTGGTTTGGCACGAGATGGAGGGAGTGGAAAAAGTACGAGCATAGAGCAGATTGAGGGAGGGGGGGGAGAAGGGCTGGCTGGAATAACAGGAAATGTCACTTTTCCTTCTAAGAGAGGTTCTTGGCTAAGTGGCAGAGGAGGCAAGAGAGCTGGTAGCCTTAGGAAACAGCAGCGGTTGCTTCCGAGCGAGGACGAGGTGAGGGAAGCTGCAGCTGATTGGCCAACCGTTGGGGCCACTTTGAGGCGAGCTCTTGGGATTGGAAGTGCTGGTGAGACTGGAGGTAATGTTGGGATTGGGAGGAGCGGTGACTCAGCTGAAAGGGCACAGAGCGCAGGGGAAGCTCAAGCGAGGCCAGAGCAAGCAGGTGGACAAGAGCAGGGTCGAATTGAGAAGGCAACAGGTTTGGCATGGCAAGTGGAAGGGAAGTTTCCGGAGGAAGTGCTTCCTGAAACGCAAGAGGAGCGGCATGAAACGCAGCAGCAGCAGCAACATTTGCCCCTCATCAGATTGGGTGCGGTGCCAGGGGTTGGGGGATCATGGAGCGCAGGAGGATCTGGAGCCGGTCCCAAGGCGCATCACGAGTGCAGATTCTGTGGCAAGGGATTTGATTCTTCTCGCGCACTTGGCGGCCACATGAATCTGCACAGGAGAGGTGAGGCAGGAGGCAGGCTCCATGCACGTAGTTCCGTTGTTGCATTCGGGGTTTTTTATCCCCTTTTTAAAAAATTCCTCTCAGTGAGTTGGTTACTTCATCAATTCGTTACCAGCAGTGCTTGCCTTCTGCCTGTCTCCACCTCTTCTCGTCTTTCTTATTCGCAGCTTTGCCATTGTACGCACATGTTTGACTCTGCACTTGATCAATCCGTTAACCCCCTTTGTTTCCCTCCTCTTCTTTTACTCGTGCTCTTTGCTTTGCATGGGCGAGCAGAGCGGAAGATGGAGAATATTGTTTTGCAGAAGACAGAGGAGCAAGCCCGGACTGGAATAGCACAGCTGCTGCAGCATCAGCTGGAGCAGCAACAGCCACTACAGCAACAGTGGCGACCACAGCAGCAGCTGCTTCAGCAGCAACCAGAACAGCGGCTCCTGCAAGAGCAGCAGAAGCAGCAGCAACGGCAGCAAGAGCAGCGAAGCCATCAGCTGCAGGTGCTCCAGCAGCAGCAGTTACAGCTTCAACCAGAGAAGCAGCAGGAGCAGCAGCAACGGCAGCAAGAGCAGCGACGCCATCAGCAACAGCTGCTCCAGCAGCAGTTGCAGCAACTGCAGCAAGCCGAAGCAAACTACCAGCAGCAACTGGGGGAACTGCTTCAACAGCAGCAGCAGCAGCAGCAGCAGCAGCAGCAGCAGCAGCAGCAGCAGCCAGCAGTGATTGTGCAGACAGCATTGCCTTTCTCACCCGAACTCGCCCAACAGCAGCTGCAGCTGGTTCGTGTGGCTGATACTTCGTCCCTTGGCTCTGCGGCTCCTGCTGCACCCTACAGCACAGCAACTGCAGGAAGCAGGCCTTTAGCTGGCATGCAATGTGAATCGTCTACTAGCATGGGCCCTGGTGTATTCGATGCCACGGCTGCTGCTGCTGTGGGTGCTGGATGGAGTGGACCGAGTGATCTGAGTGGATTGATGGCGGATCACAGCGACATGGCAAGGCGTGGTGGGGGTTTTGCTGGCGATGGGGGGCGCGTGGAGCAGCAGATGGAGACTCATCTGCAGAGTGCTTCACTGCTTCAAGCGCAGTGGCAAGAGCAACAGCAGCAACAGCAGTGGCATCAGGAGAAGATGCAACAGCGATGGCAATGGCAATGGCAATGGCAACAGCAACAGCTACAGCAACAGCAGGAACAACAGCGGCAGCGGCAGCGACAGCAAGAGGAGAAGCAGCAACAGCAAGAGGAGAGGCAACAACAGCAAGAGGAGAAGCAGCAACAGCAAGAGGAGAAGCAGCAACTGCAAGAGGAGAAGCAGCAACAGCAGCAGCTGCTCTTGCTTCAGCGTCTCCTCCAGCAGCACCAACAGCAAGAAACACACAATAAAGAAACACTACCACAGCTGCGGCAGCCTCTGCTTTGCTCCACTGACCAGCGTGCTTTCGAATCAGCGTTTCCACAGTCTGCATTACAAACAGTGCCGCCAGCAACAACAGTGCTTTCAGCAGCTCCATCACCTCCCACCACTCAGCAGCAACCTGCCACAACTCCGCAGCGGCATCATCCGCTCCTCCCTCCTCCTGCCATGCAACCTGCCACAACTCAGCAGCAGCACCATCCACTACCCCCTCCTCCCTCCCCAGACCCCTTCCTCTCCACCCTCGCCCCCGAAGTTCTCCAATCTCTCGTCCTCCACTCCCGCCCCCCAGGAACAGCCCCTGCAGTTTCCGTAACAGCTCATGCGGTTACCACTGGGGTTTTGCCTGCACCTGCTCATCCCGCTTCGGTTCCTCCCTCCCTCCTGCCCATGGGCACCCCTTCTGCACCCATGGGCACCGCTTCTGCGACCATGACCGCTGCTCCCGCCCTGCTGTTTGCTGCTTCCCCTCAGCAGCAATCCCCACTTGTTCCATCTGTCATGTTTCTTGAGCCATCGCCAGTTCCATCTACTGTACGCCTGGCAGGTGTTACGCCTGGCGTTACATCTGGCGTTACATTTGGCGTTGCATCTGGCGTTGCATCTGGCGTTGCATCTGGGCGGCCAGAGTCTGCCCCGGATGTAGCGGCAACAGAGGAGCAGCAGCTGGGCGGCATGGGAGGGGGACAGGGGTGGGGGCGTCTGGCTATGACACAGCAGGAGGGCGTAAGAGCACAGCAGCAGGTTCTCCAGCAGCAGCAGCAGCAGCAGCAGCAGCAGCAGCAGCAGCAGCAGCAGCAGCAGCAGCAGCAGCAGCAGCAGCAGCAGCAGCAGCAGCAGCAGCAGCAGCAGCAGCAGCAGCAGCAGCAGCAGCAGCAGCAGCAGCAGCAGCAGCAGCAGCAGCAGCAGCAGCAGCAGCAGCAGCAGCAGCAGCAGCAGCAGCAGCAGCAGCAGCAGCAGCAGCAGCAGCAGCAGCAGCAGCAGCAGCAGCAGCAGCAGCAGCAGCAGCAGCAGCAGCAGCAGCAGCAGCAGCAGCAGCAGCAGCAGCAGCAGCAGCAGCAGCAGCAGCAGCAGCAGCAGCAGCAGCAGCAGCAGCAGCAGCAGCAGCAGCAGCAGCAGCAGCAGCAACAGCAGCAGCAGTTGCAGCAGCAGCATCAGCAGCAGCAGCAGCAGCAGCGGCAGCAGCTGGAGCAGCAGCAGTTGCAGGGTGGCGTGGTAGTGAATGCTGGACTGCCCTCGGCACTGCAGCAACAGCACCTGCAGCAACAGCAACTGCAGCAGCAGCTGCTGCAGGGTGGTGTGGTAGTGAAAGCTGGACTACCCATGGCTCTTGTTGGCCTTGCAGCACCGCCTGTTGGGCTGGCAGCACCGCCTGTTGGGCTGGCAGCACCACCTGTTGGGCTGGCAGCACCGCCTGTTGGGCTGGCAGCACCACCTGTTGGGCTGGCAGCACCGCCTGTTGGGCTGGCAGCACCACCTGTTGGGCTTGCTGAGCTGGCAGGCATACAGGGGATGGGAGGAGGGGATACTGGGCGAGGAGGAGGTGGGCGGTCAGCGGGCACTGTGGCATGGCTGCGATCCCACAGGCCACCAAGGCCGCAGGCGCAGCAGCAGTGGCGGCAGCAGCAGCAGCAGCAGCAGCAGCAGCAGGAGCAGCAGCAGCAGTGGCAGCATCAAAAGCAGCAGCAGGAATTTTTGAGTCAGCTTGTTGCCTTGGCAGAGCACCAAGCACAGCCATGCATGGGGAGGGCTGTGCCTTTTCCTAGTGGTGTGGCTGTGTCTAGTCTGACTGTGCCTGGTGTGGCTATGCCTGGTGTGACTGTGCCTGGTGTGACTGTGCCTGGTGTGAGTGTACCTGGTGTGACTGTTCCGGAGTTCGCTTTTAGTTTCCCTCACCTCACCGCTGGGCCTCTTGCTCCTGCACTTGCTGGTGTTACAATTCCTGCTGCGCTTACTGCTACTACAGCTGCTGCTGCTACTGCTACTGCTGCTACTGCTCATATGCCACTTCCTGTAGCTACAAGCTCGGGCGTTTCATCGCGTCATTTCCTGCCTGGTGGCGTAACAACTCATGGTTCCATCCCACCATCTGAGCAGCACTCCTTCGCTTCCTTTGCACAACCGTTATCCCCTGCTGAAGCTGCCTTGGTACAGCAGCAGGAGGCTGGCCCCTTACCAGAGCAGCTAATGCAAGGGGGGGTGATAGGTGGGAGCAAGGAGGAAGAGTTGGCAAGGTTGGAGCAGCTTCGCCAGTTGTTTCTCTTACAGGAGCAGCTTATGGTTGAGCAGCCAGGGGAAGATGTGCTTCAAGTGAGGGTGGAGAGATTGAAAGGCTCCCAGGGTGGTAACATTGGTCTTGTTACAGAGCAGGAATTTGCAAGAGTAGGTGGAGAGAATGTAAAAGAAGGGGGCGGGAGCAGGCCCCCAGATTCGTGTTAGGCCACGCCCAAACAACACCCCGAAAATCAGCTAATGCTTGGTAGTGGTTTTCGTTCTTGTTGGCCCAGTTCTTTCGTTTCCAAGGCTGATTCATCAGAGTCGGTACAAGAGAACACCCTGAAAAAAAGATGAAGCAAAATCAGCGTAAAACGCCTGATTAACCATGGCCATTGTGCGGGAGGCACCCTGATTGCGAAGTGAGTGTGAAAGGTGCTAGAAGAGCATTTCGGGCAGCTGGGGCAGCAGGTAAGAGCAGAGATGTTGAAAGGATGGAGCGGGGCTACCCACACTTGTGAATGGGAATGTGGCAAGTACGGTAGATGCTTTACATTACATAATACAATTTTAGAAAGCTAAAACGGTATGAGCTATATGCGTTAATGAGTTGAGTTAATGAGTTTTCGGATTTATGAGTTGTACCCTTCGTATGTTTGTTTGGAGAACAATTAACATGAAATATCCATCGTATCCTTTGTACCTAATCGACCACTTCTCTGCATGCTAGCATGCCACACAATCATTTTAGGGTTGCCTCGCTTCCCACTCCCCGCTCCTCGCAGCAGCTGCGAGAGTGCTGCCCCGCTTTCCCACTCTTCCGCATTCCCTGTTTTCCGCCCCGCCCGCTGCATATGCCTGCATTCGCCTCCCCGATTTCCCGCACTCAAGCTGCCCCTGCTTTCCCGCTTCCCGGATCCCGCTTCCTGCTCTCTCGATTTCCCACTTTCCCATTATCCTGCTCCCCGATTTTCCGCTTTCCGCCCAATCCGCTAGCCCACTTTCCCGCGGTCCCGCTTTCAGCTTTCCCGCGTCTCCGCTTCTTCCCAGCACCCATTTTCCCCTCCCTTTCCCATCCTCGCCGGCCATCCCATGTCTTCCCGTCGCCAATTCCCCGCGCCTTTCTCTTTGTGTAGCTCATTGGTCCATTCCCTCACTCAAGTTCTTGCCTTTTCCTCCCGCCCCTCCCATCGCAAAAAGTGCAACGTTCACAGATCGTTTTCACCATTCGAGCTCGGGCATAAAGTCGGAAATCGTCCGCCAAGTGTTCGCCAAATGTTTTTTTCTCGTTTCTTTGCACGTAAATGATTCGCGAGTCTTCTGCGGATGGGATGTTATGCGAATGAGTTGTTTTGTGAATGTTACACCTGAATAATAAACATGTTCCCGTGTCTTATATTTGCATAAATGATTGGTTTTTGTACACTTAAACTTCTACAAAGTTTTAAAATTGTGCATAAGTAACTGAAATATAATAATATATAAAATATGTGCAATTTGCCAAAAAAAACTAACTGAATCCAACCCCAACCAACTCAACCCATATCTCACACGCTATTCGAGGTTCGGCGAGACCTGTAACCAGGTTGGGTTACGCATCTCCAATGGGTTGCGAAACCCAGATACCACGTCCTAACCCTATGCACCGTGAGGAAATTGAACAACCCCCTTGGGCATCAAAAGGGGCCATGCGATTGGTCGAAGCCAAACAACAACAATCGCAAACCCAACCCACAGCCTGCTCCCTCGACGGCAAAAACGACTAAGGGAAAGATGGTAGCAGATCTCGAATTCGGGATCTGTAATTTTCTCGACTTGCCCTCGTTTCCTCCTAGATCCATGCTCATGCGTAGCCATGCTAGAGAGTTGGTAGCGACTTATAAGATGGGATCGAGGCGACACCGTTGTCAGGCTAGTGAACGCGGATATCAATTGAGGTTCTTGGCGCGCGTAGCCTAGCCTGGACGAAATCACCAGCGCCTGAAAACAAGGGAAGGAAACAAATGACGAATCCCCCGCTGCTAACGGCCCACCGTTGCGGGCCGCTATAGCTTCCCGCCGCCTTCGATCTCCTCGTACGAAAATGCCACCCGCGGCTTCCCACATCGTGCTATCCCTGTCCTCGCGCTTCCTTGCTTCCCAAATCCCCGCTTCCCGCTTTCGAAAGCACGTCCGCATCTCACCTTCACGTGCTGCAGCATCTCGCTGTCCCTCGCTTCCTTCCACCCGCTTTCACCCGCGTCCCGCTATCGCTTGCTCCCCGAATCCCGCTTTCCCATGCTCCTCGCATTACCTTGCTCCCCGCATTCCAATGCTCCTCGCATTCCCATGCTTCCCTCATTCCCATTTTCCCGGCATTCCCATGTTCCCCGCATTCCCATGTTCCCCGCATTCCCTTGCTCCCCGCATCTCGCTTTCCCATGCTCCCCGCATTCCCTTGCTCCCCGCATCCCGCTTTCCCATGCTCCCCGCATTCCCATGTTCCCTGCATTCCCTGCTCCCCGCATCCTGCTTTCCCATCCTCCCCGCATTCCCATGTTCCCCGCATTCCCTTGCTTGCTCCCCGCATCCCGCTTTCCCATGCTCGCTGCATTCCCTTGCTCCCCGCATTTCCTTGCTCCCCACATCCCGCATTCCCATGCTCCCCGCATTTCCTTGCTCCTTGCATCCCGCATTCCCATGTTCCCCGCATTCCCTTGCTCCCCGCACCCCGCTTTCCCATGCTCCCCGCATTCCCATGTTCCCCGCATTCCTTGCTCCCCGCACCCCGCTTTCCCATCCTCCCCGCATTCCCATGTTCCCCGCATTCCCTTGCTCCCCGCATCCCGCTTTCCCATGCTCTCTGCATTCCCTTGCTCCCCGTATTTCCTTGCTCCCCACATCCCGCATTCCCATGCTTCCCTCATTTCCTTGCTCCTTGCATCCCACATTCCCATGCTCCCCGCATTCCCGTGTTCCCCGCATTCCCTTGCTCCCCGCACCCCGCTTTCCCATCCTCCCCGAATTCCCATGTTCCCCGCATTCCCTTGCTCCCCGCATCCCGCTTTCCCATGCTCTCCGCATTCCCATGCTCCCCGCATTTCCTTGCTCCCCGCATCCCGCATTCCCATGCTCCCCGCATTCCCGTGTTCCCCGCATTCCCTTGCTCCCCGCACCCCGCTTTCCCATCCTCCCCGCATTCCCATGTTCCCCGCATTCCCTTGCTTGCTCCCCGCATCCCGCTTTCCCATGCTCTCTGCATTCCCTTGCTCCCCGCATTTCCTTGCTCCCCACATCCCGCATTCCCATGCTCCCCGCATTTCCTTGCTCCTCGCATCCCGCATTCCCATGCTCCCCACATTCCCGTGTTCCCCGCATTCCCTTGCTCCCCGCATCCCACTTTCCCATGCTCTCCGCATTCCCTTGCTCCCCGCACCCCGCTTTCCCATCCTCCCCACATTCCCATGTTCCCCGCATTCCCTTGCTTGCTCCCCGCATCCCGCTTTCCCATGCTCTCTGCATTCCCTTGCTCCCCGCATTTCCTTGCTCCCCACATCCCGCATTCCCATGCTCCCCGCATTTCCTTGCTCCTCGCATCCCGCATTCCCATGCTCCCCGCATTCCCGTGTTCCCCGCATTCCCTTGCTCCCCGCACCCCGCTTTCCCATGCTCCCCGCATTCCCATGTTCCCCGCATTCCTTGCTCCCCGCACCCTGCTTTCCCATCCTCCCCGCATACCCATGTTCCCCGCATTCCCTTGCTCCCCGCATCCCGCTTTCCCATGCTCTCCGCATTCCCTTGCTCCCCGCTTTCCCATGCTCTCCGCATCCCCTTGCTCTCCGCATCCCCTTGCTCCCCGCATTTCTTTGCTCCCCACATCCCCCATTCCCATGTTCCCCGCATTCCCTTGCTCCCCGCACCATGCTTTCCCATCCTCCCCGCATTCCCTTGCTCCCTGCACCCCGCTTGCCCATGCTCCCCGCATTCCCATGCTCCCCGCATTCTCATGCTCCCCGCATTCCTTGCTCCCCGCATCCCGCTTTCCCTTGTTCCCCGCATTCCCATGCTCACCGCTGTCCCATGCCCCCGCTTTCCCATGCTCCCCTCATTCCATGCTCCCCACATTCCCATGCTTCGCGCATTCCCATGCTTCCCACATTCCCTTGCGACCCGCACCCCGCTTGCCCTCGCTAATCCGCTGCTGCCTCTCTCCCCTGTTTCCCGCCACCCGCTTCCCCTAGCTTCCGGCATGCCGCTTTCCCCCGCTTCCTGTTTCTGCCATTCCCCCCTTTTCACATCCCGCTTTCCCCCGGTAGCGACTAGCGCTTCCCGCTTCACCTCGCGGACCGCTTCCCGCTTTCCCTTGCGGGTCGCTTCCCACTTTCCCACGTTGTAACGTGTTACCCGCTTTTTCGCGCGCCGCAATCCCCTGCCTTCTCATTGAATGAAAACAGATAAAGGTTCAAGGCGCAGCAGCAGGGAAGAAAGCGAGGCCGCAGGGATGGGGAAGACAACAGATAGTAGCAAGCGGGAGAGGCGAGAGGGGAGGGAGAGGGGCACGAGAGCAGTGGAGGGGGGAAGGCGTGAGAGCAGGGAGGGAGTGAGGCATGAGAGCAAGGAGGGAGTGAGGCACGAGAGCAGGGAGGGAGTGAGGCATGAGAGCAGGGAGAGAGTGAGGCATGAGAGCAGGCGTGAGTGCAGGGGAGGGGGAGAGGCGTAAGAGTAGGGGAGGGGGAGAGATGGGAGAGCATTGAGGTATGAGGTGCGTGATAGGGGGGGATGTGGGAAGGCGCAAGAGCCATGGAGGGAGCGAGAGGTGAGAGAAGGGAAGGGAAAGAGGGGTACGAGTAGGGGAGTGGGGAAAGGGAGAGTGCAGCCTGGAGGAGATGGGGAGGGGAAGAGGCGTGAGGGCGGGGGAGGAAGAGGCGTGAGGGGCATGGGAGGGGGAGAGGGTGTTAGGGTAGGGGAGGGGGAGTGGCGTGAGTGCAGGAGAGTGGGGAAAGATGGATTGCAGTGAGGGTAGGGGGGTAGGAGTGAGAGCAGAGGAGTGGGAGAGGCGTGAGGGCGTGAGAGGCAGGGACAGCTGGAGGAGATGGGGAGGGAAAGGAGCATGAGGAGAGGGGAGGCAGATACGCATGAGGGCAGGGGAGAGGGAGATGCATGAGGGCAGGGGAGGGGGAGAGGCATGAGGACAGAGGAGGGGGAGTGGCATGAAGCAGGGGAGGGGGAGAGGGCAGTAAGTGTGAGCGGGATCCCGGCAGGACAGGCAGTAAACACTCTATAACTAACCCCTCTCAACCCCCCGCCCCCCCACTAACGTATGCCCCCATCTATTTCTCCCCCCCCCCCCCCCCCCTCCCCCCCCTCCCCTCCTCCCCGCTCTCTCGCAGCCTACCGGGTGGCACATGATTGCTAGTCAAGCTCACCTTGGACAACCTCTCCGTTAAAAGCCAGACTTCACCCCAAACCTATCCACTCACTCCCCTGTGCATCTCTCAACAAACCACATTCTGTGGGTGATCTCCGTGCGGCCACGCATTCAGACATTCAGCCGTTATTGGCAAATGCTAACCATGTCTCTTCTCTAGCATCATCTACGACGGCTGCAGAAAATGGAAATTATGTAACCCTACATATGTGAACGACACCTTGTAACTGAGTTGGTCCAGGGTTGTAAAGCCAACTTGAATTTTGAGGTCCCTCAAGTTTGTTACATTCTTCCTGCCACATATATATGCGACCTTTTCAGGTTATGAACGGCTTGTCGGTCGTTCTGTAAGAGTACATGAACTTGGCACCAATTTTGGCAACAAGAGTAGCTTTTTATCTTTAGCATAAAGTCATATTAGTCTAGATACATTCAGAAAGTCAAGTTCCCATGGAAAGCGATTTAATCTACTAAACAAATCCAAGACACACACTGAGATATATCGAAAACGTCTTAGCATATATAGTAACAAGTGTTGGCTACAACACCTCCATCCAACCACCAAGAAGGGCGTAGTCCAACGGAATCGGTGCAAAACACGGCTTTATGAAATTTGTGAATACCAAACTGAACCGAATTGAATCGCAAATTACAGCGTGCTATAGAGCGCGCGGATTTTGGGATCCAAAATTTCAGGTCCTATTTGCTTGATATTCGGGTCTGTAGAAACACGCCCCTATTCACAAAATGACGTGCTGACCAATCACACACCCTTTGCCCCCACCCTTCACCTGCAACCGAACCCAACAAAATTTATTCATCCAACTCAGCCCCTGCACCTCGTCCAACCAATCAAAATCTGCCAAGTGGTTCCAGAGCGGCTAATCCAGCTCAACCACCTGCTCGCCCCAACCACCCAGCCCACCACGCTGCACCCCACATGCCAGCACTCCAGCCCACCACACACTTCTGATCCCTTCCTTACTTGCCCCCTTGTGCCCTCTCATGCCTTCCAGCTAGACGTTACTTACAATAATAGCCCTCGGCAGTTCTATCTGCATCAGTTTCAGCTCCCATTCTCGCCTTCGCGCCCCCTAGTGAGCAGCTCCTTCCTCTCCCACAGGCTTCGATTACCATGGTCGTTCTTAGTGCGCCCTATGCTGAGGATCTCGTTTCACGATGGTCTATCGTTTCAAGCAGCTCGTAGGTGACTAGTCTTGTTCACCCATGTCATTCTTATCTGCATGTTCATGAGCTAATGCGCCATTGGGGGGGCGGGAGAGTAAGGAGGGGCGAGGGGGAGGAGGCGGCACGCAGAAGCGGTATCTTCGGGAGGCGGGGCGCCTGGCGGAGTACCTAGATGCGCGCATGGAGGCGGCCACCAAGTGCGCGGACGCCAGCAGATGCGAGCACGGTGGTGAAACATCTCTTCCCTTGTTTCGCTTCTCGCCACTGTCCTTTTCCTCTCTCCTGTACTCGTTCCGTCTATGCCCGTCTCGATCCCCCTTTCGTGCCCTCTCTCCCTTTTCGCTCGTCCCAGCTGCTCTTTCTCCCCCTCGCCCCTGGAGCTGTGCTTGCCATGTGTGTGCTTGCCACGTGTGTGCTTGGCGCAGCAGCGGTGCGGCGTGACTCGTGCAGAGAGGCATGGCTAGTAGTGTGTGTGGGAAGGTGGAGGGGGCAGAGCGGAATGGAGAGCATCCGCTCTCGTGCACTCCCCTTCTCACGCGCATGCCCCATCCATCCGTCCATCGTGTGTGCGCTGCAGGTTGGGCACAGCAGCAGCAGGCCCGAGGAGCAGTGAAGGGGGGCATGCTGGCGCCATGGGTGGTGCGCTGCCAGACGACGTGAGCGCCATGGCGTATGCGCACGACCTGCCACCCAAGGTGCATACATGTGCCTTGCTATATGCATGGCGGTGTGAAGCCATCCCTGGCAGCCCATCCGTGTGCCCTCTGTTCTGCCTGTTGCGTGCCCATGCCACCCCCTTTTGGCTCTTGCACGCCACGCCTCTCCATGCGACCTACCACTCTCCTTGCCTTTACTCACCTCTTTCTTTCACATGGCTGCATGGAATCACATGGCTGCATGGCATGGCATGGGCGCATGGCACATGGGTGCATGGCATCACATGGGTGCATGGCATCACATGGGTGCATGGCATCACATGGGTGCATGGCGTGGGTGCATGGCATCAGGTGCATCTGTGGCAGCACCACGAGTCTCTCTCCTCGCGCCATCTCTCCTCCTCCCTCGCCTCCCTGCACCGTTACTTCGACCACAGGTGAACAGTCATGGCCAGGCGGAGAGGGGGGGGTCATACAGGTGCCACGGATGGGTTGCTGGAGTAGAGAGGCCCATGAGAGGGCATTCGCAGGCACGTGCGAGTGTGGGGGGCAGTGGGAAGGGCCTGCTGCATGACAGGGCAAGGAAGTGTGGGGGAGAGTGTGGCGTTCGCACGTTGATACGTGTGATCGTGTGAGTGTGCTGTGCACGCGTGGCCCTCATGGTGAGGCAGCCACGAGGAGTGCAGCCACCACGAGGAGTGCAGCCGCCACAAGGAGTGCAGCCTCCATTCTGTTCTTCCATGTCTTGTGCGCTCTTCCCCGACTCTTGCGCACACCGTCACTCCACCCTCCCGCTTCCGCCCCCTGCCACCCCCTCCTCTCTCCAAGCAGTGCGGGCGTGACAGCGGTGGGTAGTCGCCCGGCGTCGGAGTGGTGTGCGGGGCGATTCCAGGCGGGGCTGCTGGTGGAGGGTGCCATGCACGCACGATACGGGCACACACAGCACGCCATGGGGGTATGAAGGCATTTGTTACTTGACGTATCAATCAAACTAATGATTCGCATGTGTCCTCACGATGCTTGTCTTTATCGCAGCTAGCTATGTAACTCTGTCCAACATCGAGATAATTCCCCATGTAAGTCCAATTGTAAGTCTCGCTGGTCATTTGATCGTCGGACTAATTTCACAACAATGTCTCGTATGACGTGCAGAAATTTGTAGCCTACCACGTGCTATTTCCTCCGGTAAGCTGGCTCTTGTAATTGCTGTCGTATGGAATATAACTAATTTGATTACAATGTTTGAACCTAATGTGCACGACTCAATATCCAGCGTCGCGCTACTTCGTTGTTGTAAGCATTGTCCTTATTGTTGGTGATTTCGACCTTGGATTAATTTCGAGATAACAAGTTCTGAACGTAACGTGCAGGAATTCCAATCCAGTTTCAAGAATTGCTGCTCCTGGTGTGCCGCCGCTCAGTTTCTCTTTGTGTTAGTGCGGGACCCACATAGGGGTGCTGGTAGGCAAGGGCGGTTGGGCCATAGTGGTTGTGTACTGTAGTGTAGATGTTTTTTTTAATATATCAAATAATTTGCTTGTTGCATTTTAAGTAAATCCAAACGAGGCATGCCCTAATTGTACTGAACCATGCCCAAAAGGGTACTGCAGCCTGCAAAAACGGATCCATGAAAAACACCGCCAAACGTTTGCAACAAATCATGCTGAATACTAAAAATGGTGAGCATAAACTTCTCTATGCATTTACATGTTTACTGCAAAAGTTGTAGAAAGAACGCCGCCATGCATTTGTAAACGAACCACGGAGATTACCGAAAAGACACCTCTAAGCATTCGCTGTCGTGAACCAAAAAGTGTTTTGGGAAATGTTGTCAAAGCATTCGCCAAGTGTTCTAATCTAAGTCCGCCATGAATTTTCACCCACATGTTCGCAAAACGTTTGCAAAGCATTTGCGCGAATGCTACGCAATCGTTTTGCGAGCATACATTTTTTGCGATGCCCCTGTTTTCCCTCCCAACCTTTCCACCATATCCCTATATCCCCTGTTATCCTCACACTGCCCTTCTCTCTCTCCCACGTTCCGCCCATCTCTCTCTCCGCCGCACCCCACCTCACTGTCCCCCGCTCTGCACACCTCTCTTCCCCTCCCACTGGCTACCTCTCTCACGCCTACTCCACGTCATAATTCCTCCGACTCCCTTCCCTCGTTTCCCTTGCTCTGCCCACCTCTATCCCCCCAGCTCTTCTGAAGGTGGGCTCTGGTGGGGGGGAAGGTGGGCTCTGGTGGGTGGGGAGGTGGGTTCTGGTTGGGGGTGAGGTGGGTTCTGGTGGGGGAGAGGTGGGCTCTGGTGGGGGGGGAGGTGGGCTCTGGTTAGGGGGAGGAGGGGGGGGGGATGGGGAAGACTTGGGCATTTCGAAGCTGGGGAGGGGGCTCGCCGCCCACTTTCTCCCTCTCTCCCTCCCATCACCCTTTCTTTCAGCACTGGTCGCGATCTAGGAACTCCCTCCCTTATTTTCCCATCCCTCTTTTCTCAAACTCTCATCTGCCCATCTCACACTCCCCGTATTCCCTCATTCATCTCACTACCTATTTCTGCCCCCCACCCCCCGCCTCTCTCTGAAGCGGTCCTTTGTATTCATGGAAAAACCTGAGAACAGGGCTCGGCTCTTCAGGGGTTTGACAAACCATGCATCCTAACCCTCCTCTGCCTCGCTAGCCTAAGGTACGTCCACTCCCGCTTCCAGGACTACGAAGCAAGATCTAGACACTCCTCTCCCATTCACCCGTCTCCCTTGCTCTCCTCTCCCGTTCTCCCCTCCCCCATGCTCCCCTCTCCCGTTCTCCCCTCTCCCATGCTCCCCTCTCCCGTACTCCCGTCTCCCTTGCCCTCTCCCTGGGTAGGGGGGATCCGGGCTCTCTTTGGGGCCGGGAGGAGGGCTATGGGAGGTGGGGAAGCAGGGCTTTTGGAGGGGGGGAAGCTGGGCTATGGGAGGGGGGAAAGCAGGGCTATGGGAGGTGGGGAAGCAGGGATTTTGGAGGGGGGGAAGCAGGGCTATGGGAGGGGGGGAATCAGGGCTATGGGAGGGGGGGAAGCAGGGCTATGGGAGGGGGTGAAGCAAGGCTATAGGAGGTGGGGAAGCAGGGCTATGGAAGGGGGGGAAGCAGGGCTATGGGAGGTGGGGAAGCAGGGCTATGGGAGGGGGGAAAGCAGGGCTATGGGAGGGGGGGAAGTAGGGCTATGGGAGGTGGGGAAGCAGGGCTATGGGAGGGGGAAAGCAGGGCTATGGGAGGGGGGGAAGTAGGGCTATGGGAGGGGGGGAACAGGGGGTATAGATGGGAGGCATTGGGGCTCATTCTTCTCCCCTCTTCCCCCCCCACACCCGTTCTCTCTCTCCCTCTTTCTCTCTCACTCTCTCTCTCGCTCCCTCACCGTCCCTTCCTCTCTCGCGCGCTCTCTCCCTCGCCCCCTCTCTCTTTTCCTCCTTTTCTCCCACTCCACTCTCTCATTCCCGCTTTCATTCTCTTTCTCTTTCTCTCTTGTTCTCCCTTTCCCCCTCACTCTCCATCCACCACCTGCCCCTTCAATTCTGGATAGTTTTTTGCCTTGGGCATTCACCCCCCCCCCCTCCCCTTCTTCTCCTACAACCTGCTCTTATTCTCACCTCCTACTTCCATCCTGTAGGTTGCAAGGTGCATGGAAAAGGAGGTGAATAACGCCTAGGCTAGAGGCCCCTGGCTGTTCCTGGCTAGACTGTTAGGGGTTTCCTAGGTTGTGTTGCATTGTGTGTCTTGTTCTTCCCTAAGAAAAAATGGCGCTTGCGCCCGCCTGCTTGCTTATATTTCAAAATCAAGCTTTGCAATCAGTGGGAACTGGATCCCTGCTATTTTTATGTCGTGTGCTGCATCGTGTAATTATCGTCTCTAATCCTATGTGCAAGTAGATGCGTTGTGCTGGTTTCCTAGTTTTTCTGTTTTTGTTTTGTTGCATACATGAGCCTCATCAGCATAGCACAGTGCTTTTCTCCGTAAAGGATGTTAACTGTTTCTTTGTCAGAACAGTCCTTCGCAAGGTCGACGGGCAGCGTCGCCCGCTGTACCCTTACGACCTCGCCAATTTTGGCGAGACCATTTCAGTCGTCGCGAGGCCTCTCACGTTTCGCGTGAGGCCCGCCCCATTTTTGCGACACTTGCGCTCCTCGCCATTTTCGCTACCCCCAACTCAAGATTCAAAGTCTTTGTCTTGAGTTTGGTCTGTCCGCTCGCTTTAATATGGTTAACTAGTGAGCATGCGTGTTTTTCTTTGTAGATATATCGAGAAGTTCATAACGTCGCATGAAATCCATTCCCGTGGTTTTCCCTTGATTCCGTGAAGCTAGAGTGGGTTCCTACGGAAGTTCTGAACATCAGTTGGGACCGTCAAGGGCTGGTGTAGAAAGTTGGGTCCGTCCGGTATCAGGTTGGGCACGTACAACCACAAACGACCAGGCTGTACTACGATTCTTCACGAAACATTCTGCGACATTCACGCGACAACTTTAGCCGTCAGAACGGTTTTGAACGTTCAAATGCATTTTATGCGCCGTCGAAAAAGAAGGTTTTGTCCAAACTCGAATTTGGAGAGCAAGAGAGAGAATTCTAATCCAGCCAAACTCTGCAATTCCAAGCATTTTGGTTCTTTTTGTCCTACTCTGGAAGTGCCCACGATTTTTTTTCAAGGTGAACAGTTGACGTCTCGTGAAGCCGCTGGCAGACAGCCAGGTGGGCGCGTGGGTCGTGCACGGTGGGTCGTCCCATTCGTTGATTGGGCGATGGATTTCGCGAATGCCCTCGGCGTTTCGTTGGGGTGTTCGTTCGGAACGTTTCTGACCGTTCCGAACAGCCCCATGTTGGTTGGGAACAATCTCATGCCCGAGCGTTCCCAACCGATGTTCAGAACTTCCGTAGGGACTTGCTCTTAGACTCGTTTAGTTACTTCCCTCGACTTTTCTAATAAGGCGTCTCGGCTTCGTCTACTTCCCATCGTTTAGTCAGTTCCTTCGCTTTCTTCTCCTTATATTTTCTCCGGTGTCGTTTTCTTTATCCTCTCAGTTCCATTTACTTAGTTCCGCCTTTCGTTTACTTAGCTTCCTCGGTTCGTCTACTTAGCTCGCTCGATTCGTCAATGGCGAGCGGCAGCGATGGTGCCGATGGCGGGAATGGCGTCGCGGATCTCCCGGCTAACGGCAAGCCCCCTCTTGAGTCGCCTCACAAGAGGAATGGCGTCGCAGGCGAGAATGGCGTCGCAGGCGAGAATGGCGTCGCAGGCGAGAATGGCGTCGCAGGCGAGAATTGCGTCGCAGGCGAGAACGGCGTCGCAGATTTGTCCGCTTACGTCAAGCCCATGCAGCTCTACGCGTCCCTGCACAGCCATGGAACGGTGAGCGTCAGATGTTATCCCCGTTCTAAGTAGACTAGCGTCAAGGACCTCTCTGCTTCCGCTCTACAGTCCGTGCACAGCCACGGAATGGTGGGTCGCGGATGTTATCTACGTTATAAGCCCACGCAGCTCTACCCGTGATCCCAAGCCCGTGCAGCTCTACGTGTCCTTGAACAGGCAGGGGACAGTGGGTCACGGATGTATCGTTATCCCCGTTATAATTAGAATAGCGCCGGGCCTCTCTGCTTCCATCAATCTCATGCAGCTCTACGCGTCCCTGCACAGCCACGGAGCGGTGAGGGTCGGATGCTATCCCCGTTATAAGACCATACTGTTCCGCAGGCGAGAGGCAGCAGCACAGCACGTGTCTTCACTCCATCTTCCCACTTTCACATCCCTTCCTCCCGCCCTACACCCCACCCCCCCCCCCCCCTCACCTTCCCCTTCCCCTTCAGCGTCTGTTTCTACCCCGCACGTTGCGTTACAGGCGGGAGGCAGCAGCGCAGCAGGAGAGGGAGGAGCGGTGGCAGCTGGAGCATCAGCAAGAGCAACAGCCGCAGCACATAGACACCCCATCCACCTCCCCACCTGACCTCCCCTGCACCTGCGCCGTATCTCTCCACATGGCTTCCTGCTCCTCCTCCTGCGCCTTCTCCCTTCCCTCCTCCGCTCATCCCCCCCCTTCCCTCTCCCACTCCCCCCCCTCACTACCTCCTCCTCCTCCTTCGTTCCAGCCCCTACAGTCTCACCTTATGGTGTTCGCCATTCCTCTCACACGCGCTCCAGTTGCTACCGCTGCTGCTGCTGCGAATGCTACTGTTGCAGATACTGCGAGTGCAGCAGATGGTGCTTGTGCGAGCGATGCTGCAGCAGATGGTGCTTGTGCGAGCGATGCTGCAGCAGATGGTGCTTGTGCGACCGATGCTGCTGCAAATGGTGACAGCACGAGCGCTGCTGCTGCGGGCACGTGGGAGCGGTATTCTGTGAAGAGCTCAGCAGCGATGCTGTGCGTGCCTGTGCTGGGGAGCAGCAGTGCTGCCACTGGTAGCGGTGCTGCCATGCGCCATGTGAATGGGGTGGATGCTGCAGAGCCACAAAGGGTGATGCATGCCAGTCACTACCGGCATCACCATCACCATCACCATGGCCATCACCACAACCACCACGACCACCATCAGAATTGCAGTCAGCATGAGCACCACCATGGATCTGAGCGTGCCGTGTCATCCCTGCCAAGACGCGTGCTGCTGCCAACCGACAGTACTGGCGGGCCCTCCTCTGTTCTCCTGCTCGTCATCCGTGAGTGCCCTTGACTTTAGTGGAGTCATTTCTGAGAATTCTTAAAAATAACTCGAGATAGTTCTCAGAAACGTCATCCGTGAGTATCTTGACTTTAGTCTGCTGCTACCTGAATGCAATGACAGCGGGCCCATCAAGGCTTAGCGGGTTCTGAGCGTGCCATATCGTTCCTGCCTGCCAAGGCGTATGTCGCTGCCAACATGCAGCGATGGCAGGGACTGGAGGGCCCTCCTCTCCTCTGTACTGCCGCTCGTCATCCGAGAGCGTATCGGGCCTTCACCTTACAGTGTGGCTTCTATCATTGCTAGTTTTGAGGCGCCTCAAAACTAGACTCCTATCACGCGGATTTTGAGGCGCCTCAAAACTAGACTTCTATCACGCGGATTTTGAGGCGCCTCAAAACTAGCCTTCACCATACAGTGTGGCTTCTATCATTGCTTTTTTCTCTCCCTCTCTCTCGAGCTGTGATTCGTTATTTTTTTCAGCTTGCCTTGCTGCAGTTTGTGAGCGTACACGTCTCAAGCATGCACATATGTGCAGCAGCCCAAGAAGCAAACAACATTATAGTAAAGTGATGCCCTTATTTTCGGCCCTTGTTTCCCCCATCTCTGCCTCTGCCTCCCATTTCCGCCTCATCCCCTGCCCGTCACCACACCACCCTTTTTGATACCAAACCACTCCACACCACACCACACCACACCGCACCACACCGCACCACACCGCACCACACCACACCACACCACACTACACCACAGCTCCTCAAAGCAGTGTCCACACGCCATGTGTCAATGGCTCCTCCCATCCCATGCCATCTGCGTACACTGCCAACGCCAAACAAGCCAACCCCCATCCCCATTCACATTCACAGTCGCAACAGCCTCTGGCCAATGGAGTTGCACCACGGTTTCCCAAAGCTCGCACTGCAGCCAATGGCATGCTGCCATCTGTCGACGAACCTGCCTTCTCAGCCATGTTCGGAGGTGCAGAATCCGAGCCTAGAATCGTCTTCTGGGGCCACCTGTCCACCGAGCCTGTCTCTGCCGAACCTGTCTCCTCTGAGCCTGTTTCTGCCGAGCCTGGTCTGAACGTGGGGGCATGGTTTTGGCGGCAGCGGTGCATCAACTTGCGCCTTGGGATGATCATGGTAAGTAGAACGAGAAGTATCGTCGTTATCATTGTGACTATGGTGAGTGTGATAGCAATGAATCTGACTATAACCGGGCTGATTTTATGGGATTTGTGATTGTGGTGGTGGTAGGTGGTAGGTAGGCCAGGCTCAGGAGGATGATCATGGCAAGTCCGGCACTGTGTGAAGTGAAGTTTTATGGTAGCAGTACCACATCCGTCCATCCGCTAATTTCATCTGTGTTGTGTCCACATGCTTGATAAAAACTCACCAGGATTGCTCAGTGCAGACGGCGGCAGCACACGGCACATCCCAGCGACCAGGTTTCTTCCTTCAGCCGCTGCCGGATGGCGACCAGACAGGCACGGTAAGAGAGTGAGTGAGTCAGTGAGTGAGTGAGTGAGTGAGTCAGGGTAAGATGCATGGCGGCAAGCAGGTTGGCTTTTGAGGGGCCTCAAAGCACGCGACACATCCCAGTGACCGGGTTTCTTCCTGCAGCCCCTGCCAGACAGCGACCAGACAGGCACGGTGAGCAGAGGGCATGTAGGGTTGAGGTTCCCTGGTTTAGAGTCTAGGCTATTATGGCGTCGGAACCCTCTAACCGCAGGATTTCTTCCTGCAGTCGCTGCCAGATGGCGACCAGACAGGCACGGTGAGCAAGAAGGGTGGAAGGTTTAGGCTGTAAGATTTGGGGTAGGGCTGTGAGATTTGGGGTTGTAAGATGTGCGGTTTCTGGCATGTTGTTGGTGCGTGTGCGCCCATGTCCGTGCCAGCACCTGGAGCCTCTCTCAAACTTAATGTGTTGCCTTCCCTTTGCGAGTCGACTTAAAAGCATCTCTCTGCCACCAACACCTGCAGCTGTTCTCAAACCCCAACGCATTCCCTTTGCGCCGTCTATCAAGCCTCTGGTTGCACGGTCACTTGGTCCCGTCTCACAAGCCTCTGGTTGCACTGTCACTTGGTCCCGTCTCACAAGCCTCTGGTTGCACGGTCACTTCGTCCTGTCTCACAACCCACGTGTCTTCCTTGCAGGAGATCAGCGAGCGCCTGTTTGTGGATGTGCGCCCATCGCCATGCCACCCCTGCCAGCAGCGAGGGGTTTTCCTGCTGGGGAGAGTGCAGCTGCCAGTGCAGGTGGGTGGGTGGGCGGGCGGGCGGGCGGGTGGGTGGGATGCCATCGCCAGCTAGCCAGCAGCGCCTGCCCTGCCCATGCTGGTGTGTCCGCATGTGCCCGCTTCAGAGGCGCCTCAAAAAGAGTATCCTGCACGGCAGGGTGTTGCTGCCAGTGCAGGTATGAGGGTGGGTGGATGGGTGAGATGCCATTACCGGCTAGCCAGCAGGGTCCTGCCCATGGTGGTGTGTCCGCATATGCCTCTGTCACCAGCCTGTTGCTTTCAAGGATCACATCTTATCCCCATCCACCATCACATACACATGACGCCATTCCCATTCCCCATGCACCATCCCCTTATCCCCATACTTCGCATCCCCTGACCCCCATTCTCCATCATCTCCATTACCATCCCCAACCTTCCATCCAGCCCTCTGACGGCGGCGCCGTGCTGTTCCACTTCTGGTTTGGCCGCGGGCAGCGCCGGTCACAAGCCGTGCGTCACTTCCGCTGCCCCATCTGCCGCGCCGTGTGCGGCAACGCCAAGGTCAGTCAGTGCTTCGTGCCAAGGTCAGTCAGTGCTTCGTGCCAAGGTCAGTCAGTGCTTCGTGCCAAGGTCAGTCAGTGCTTCGTGCCACGGTCAGTCAGTGCTTCGTGCCAAGGTCAGTCAGTGCTTCGTGCCAAGGTCAGTCAGTGCTTCGTGCCAAGGTCAGTCAGTGCTTCGTGCCAAGGTCAGTCAGTGCTTCGTGCCAAGGTCAGTCAGTGCTTCGTGCCAAGGTCAGTCAGTGCTTCGTGCCAAGGTCAGTCAGTGCTTCGTGCCACGGTCAGTCAGTGCTTCGTGCCAAGGTCAGTCAGTGCTTCGTGCCAAGGTCAGTCAGTGCTTCGTGCCAAGGTCAGTCAGTGCTTCGTGCCAAGGTCAGTCAGTGCTTCGTGCCAAGGTCAGTCAGTGCTTCGTGCCAAGGTCAGTCAGTGCTTCGTGCCAAGGTCAGTCAGTGCTTCGTGCCAAGGTCAGTCAGTGCTTCGTGCCAAGGTCAGTCAGTGCTTCGTGCCAAGGTCAGTCAGTGCTTCGTGCCAAGGTCAGTCAGTGCTTCGTGCCAAGGTCAGTCAGTGCTTCGTGCCAAGGTCAGTCAGTGCTTCGTGCCAAGGTCAGTCAGTGCTTCGTGCCAAGGTCAGTCAGTGCTTCGTGCCAAGGTCAGTCAGTGCTTCGTGCCAAGGTCAGTCAGTGCTTCGTGCCAAGGTCAGTCAGTGCTTCGTGCCAAGGTCAGTCAGTGCTTCGTGCCAAGGTCAGTCAGTGCTTCGTGCCAAGGTCAGTCAGTGCTTCGTGCCAAGGTCAGTCAGTGCTTCGTGCCAAGGTCAGTCAGTGCTTCGTGCCAAGGTCAGTCAGTGCTTCGTGCCAAGGTCAGTCAGTGCTTCGTGCCAAGGTCAGTCAGTGCTTCGTGCCAAGGTCAGTCAGTGCTTCGTGCCAAGGTCAGTCAGTGCTTCGTGCCAAGGTCAGTCAGTGCTTCGTGCCAAGGTCAGTCAGTGCTTCGTGCCAAGGTCAGTCAGTGCTTCGTGCCAAGGTCAGTCAGTGCTTCGTGCCAAGGTCAGTCAGTGCTTCGTGCCAAGGTCAGTCAGTGCTTCGTGCCAAGGTCAGTCAGTGCTTCGTGCCAAGGTCAGTCAGTGCTTCGTGCCAAGGTCAGTCAGTGCTTCGTGCCAAGGTCAGTCAGTGCTTCGTGCCAAGGTCAGTCAGTGCTTCGTGCCAAGGTCAGTCAGTGCTTCGTGCCAAGGTCAGTCAGTGCTTCGTGCCAAGGTCAGTCAGTGCTTCGTGCCAAGGTCAGTCAGTGCTTCGTGCCAAGGTCAGTCAGTGCTTCGTGCCAAGGTCAGTCAGTGCTTCGTGCCAAGGTCAGTCAGTGCTTCGTGCCAAGGTCAGTCAGTGCTTCGTGCCAAGGTCAGTCAGTGCTTCGTGCCAAGGTCAGTCAGTGCTTCGTGCCAAGGTCAGTCAGTGCTTCGTGCCAAGGTCAGTCAGTGCTTCGTGCCAAGGTCAGTCAGTGCTTCGTGCCAAGGTCAGTCAGTGCTTCGTGCCAAGGTCAGTCAGTGCTTCGTGCCAAGGTCAGTCAGTGCTTCGTGCCAAGGTCAGTCAGTGCTTCGTGCCAAGGTCAGTCAGTGCTTCGTGCCAAGGTCAGTCAGTGCTTCGTGCCAAGGTCAGTCAGTGCTTCGTGCCAAGGTCAGTCAGTGCTTCGTGCCAAGGTCAGTCAGTGCTTCGTGCCAAGGTCAGTCAGTGCTTCGTGCCAAGGTCAGTCAGTGCTTCGTGCCAAGGTCAGTCAGTGCTTCGTGCCAAGGTCAGTCAGTGCTTCGTGCCAAGGTCAGTCAGTGCTTCGTGCCAAGGTCAGTCAGTGCTTCGTGCCAAGGTCAGTCAGTGCTTCGTGCCAAGGTCAGTCAGTGCTTCGTGCCAAGGTCAGTCAGTGCTTCGTGCCAAGGTCAGTCAGTGCTTCGTGCCAAGGTCAGTCAGTGCTTCGTGCCAAGGTCAGTCAGTGCTTCGTGCCAAGGTCAGTCAGTGCTTCGTGCCAAGGTCAGTCAGTGCTTCGTGCCAAGGTCAGTCAGTGCTTCGTGCCAAGGTCAGTCAGTGCTTCGTGCCAAGGTCAGTCAGTGCTTCGTGCCAAGGTCAGTCAGTGCTTCGTGCCAAGGTCAGTCAGTGCTTCGTGCCAAGGTCAGTCAGTGCTTCGTGCCAAGGTCAGTCAGTGCTTCGTGCCAAGGTCAGTCAGTGCTTCGTGCCAAGGTCAGTCAGTGCTTCGTGCCAAGGTCAGTCAGTGCTTCGTGCCAAGGTCAGTCAGTGCTTCGTGCCAAGGTCAGTCAGTGCTTCGTGCCAAGGTCAGTCAGTGCTTCGTGCCAAGGTCAGTCAGTGCTTCGTGCCAAGGTCAGTCAGTGCTTCGTGCCAAGGTCAGTCAGTGCTTCGTGCCAAGGTCAGTCAGTGCTTCGTGCCAAGGTCAGTCAGTGCTTCGTGCCAAGGTCAGTCAGTGCTTCGTGCCAAGGTCAGTCAGTGCTTCGTGCCAAGGTCAGTCAGTGCTTCGTGCCAAGGTCAGTCAGTGCTTCGTGCCAAGGTCAGTCAGTGCTTCGTGCCAAGGTCAGTCAGTGCTTCGTGCCAAGGTCAGTCAGTGCTTCGTGCCAAGGTCAGTCAGTGCTTCGTGCCAAGGTCAGTCAGTGCTTCGTGCCAAGGTCAGTCAGTGCTTCGTGCCAAGGTCAGTCAGTGCTTCGTGCCAAGGTCAGTCAGTGCTTCGTGCCAAGGTCAGTCAGTGCTTCGTGCCAAGGTCAGTCAGTGCTTCGTGCCAAGGTCAGTCAGTGCTTCGTGCCAAGGTCAGTCAGTGCTTCGTGCCAAGGTCAGTCAGTGCTTCGTGCCAAGGTCAGTCAGTGCTTCGTGCCAAGGTCAGTCAGTGCTTCGTGCCAAGGTCAGTCAGTGCTTCGTGCCAAGGTCAGTCAGTGCTTCGTGCCAAGGTCAGTCAGTGCTTCGTGCCAAGGTCAGTCAGTGCTTCGTGCCAGTCAGGGTCCAAGGTCAGTCAGTGCTTCGTGCCAAGGTCAGTCAGTGCTTCGTGCCAAGGTCAGTCAGTGCTTCGTGCCAAGGTCAGTCAGTGCTTCGTGCCAAGGTCAGTCAGTGCTTCGTGCCAAGGTCAGTCAGTGCTTCGTGCCAAGGTCAGTCAGTGCTTCGTGCCAAGGTCAGTCAGTGCTTCGTGCCAAGGTCAGTCAGTGCTTCGTGCCAAGGTCAGTCAGTGCTTCGTGCCAAGGTCAGTCAGTGCTTCGTGCCAAGGTCAGTCAGTGCTTCGTGCCAAGGTCAGTCAGTGCTTCGTGCCAAGGTCAGTCAGTGCTTCGTGCCAAGGTCAGTCAGTGCTTCGTGCCAAGGTCAGTCAGTGCTTCGTGCCAAGGTCAGTCAGTGCTTCGTGCCAAGGTCAGTCAGTGCTTCGTGCCAAGGTCAGTCAGTGCTTCGTGCCAAGGTCAGTCAGTGCTTCGTGCCAAGGTCAGTCAGTGCTTCGTGCCAAGGTCAGTCAGTGCTTCGTGCCAAGGTCAGTCAGTGCTTCGTGCCAAGGTCAGTCAGTGCTTCGTGCCAAGGTCAGTCAGTGCTTCGTGCCAAGGTCAGTCAGTGCTTCGTGCCAAGGTCAGTCAGTGCTTCGTGCCAAGGTCAGTCAGTGCTTCGTGCCAAGGTCAGTCAGTGCTTCGTGCCAAGGTCAGTCAGTGCTTCGTGCCAAGGTCTCAGTCAGTCAGTGCTTCGTGCCAAGGTCAGTCAGTGCTTCGTGCCAAGGTCAGTCAGTGCTTCGTGCCAAGGTCAGTCAGTGCTTCGTGCCAAGGTCAGTCAGTGCTTCGTGCCAAGGTCAGTCAGTGCTTCGTGCCAAGGTCAGTCAGTGCTTCGTGCCAAGGTCAGTCAGTGCTTCGTGCCAAGGTCAGTCAGTGCTTCGTGCCAAGGTCAGTCAGTGCTTCGTGCCAAGGTCAGTCAGTGCTTCGTGCCAAGGTCAGTCAGTGCTTCGTGCCAAGGTCAGTCAGTGCTTCGTGCCAAGGTCAGTCAGTGCTTCGTGCCAAGGTCAGTCAGTGCTTCGTGCCAAGGTCAGTCAGTGCTTCGTGCCAAGGTCAGTCAGTGCTTCGTGCCAAGGTCAGTCAGTGCTTCGTGCCAAGGTCAGTCAGTGCTTCGTGCCAAGGTCAGTCAGTGCTTCGTGCCAAGGTCAGTCAGTGCTTCGTGCCAAGGTCAGTCAGTGCTTCGTGCCAAGGTCAGTCAGTGCTTCGTGCCAAGGTCAGTCAGTGCTTCGTGCCAAGGTCAGTCAGTGCTTCGTGCCAAGGTCAGTCAGTGCTTCGTGCCAAGGTCAGTCAGTGCTTCGTGCCAAGTGTCGTGCCAGTCAGTGCTTCGTGCCAAGGTCAGTCAGTGCTTCGTGCCAAGGTCAGTCAGTGCTTCGTGCCAAGGGTCTCCAGGTCCAGTGCTTCGTGCCAAGGTCAGTCAGTGCTTCGTGCCAAGGTCAGTCAGTGCTTCGTGCCACGGTCAGTCAGTGCTTCGTGCCAAGGTCAGTCAGTGCTTCGTGCCAAGGTCAGTCAGTGCTTCGTGCCAAGGTCAGTCAGTGCTTCGTGCCAAGGTCAGTCAGTGCTTCGTGCCAAGGTCAGTCAGTGCTTCGTGCCAAGGTCAGTCAGTGCTTCGTGCCAAGGTCAGTCAGTGCTTCGTGCCAAGGTCAGTCAGTGCTTCGTGCCAAGGTCAGTCAGTGCTTCGTGCCAAGGTCAGTCAGTGCTTCGTGCCAAGGTCAGTCAGTGCTTCGTGCCAAGGTCAGTCAGTGCTTCGTGCCAAGGTCAGTCAGTGCTTCGTGCCAAGGTCAGTCAGTGCTTCGTGCCAAGGTCAGTCAGTGCTTCGTGCCAAGGTCAGTCAGTGCTTCGTGCCAAGGTCAGTCAGTGCTTCGTGCCAAGGTCAGTCAGTGCTTCGTGCCAAGGTCAGTCAGTGCTTCGTGCCAAGGTCAGTCAGTGCTTCGTGCCAAGGTCAGTCCAGTGCTTCGTGCCAAGGTCAGTCAGTGCTTCGTGCCAAGGTCAGTCAGTGCTTCGTGCCAAGGTCAGTCAGTGCTTCGTGCCAAGGTCAGTCAGTGCTTCGTGCCAAGGTCAGTCAGTGCTTCGTGCCAAGGTCAGTCAGTGCTTCGTGCCAAGGTCAGTCAGTGCTTCGTGCCAAGGTCAGTCAGTGCTTCGTGCCAAGGTCAGTCAGTGCTTCGTGCCAAGGTCAGTCAGTGCTTCGTGCCAAGGTCAGTCAGTGCTTCGTGCCAAGGTCAGTCAGTGCTTCGTGCCAAGGTCAGTCAGTGCTTCGTGCCAAGGTCAGTCAGTGCTTCGTGCCAAGGTCAGTCAGTGCTTCGTGCCAAGGTCAGTCAGTGCTTCGTGCCAAGGTCAGTCAGTGCTTCGTGCCAAGGTCTATGTTCTAGTCAGTGCTTCGTGCCAAGGTCAGTCAGTGCTTCGTGCCAGGTCAGTCAGTGCTTCGTGCCAAGGTCAGTCAGTGCTTCGTGCCAAGGTCAGTCAGTGCTTCGTGCCAAGGTCAGTCAGTGCTTCGTGCCAAGGTCAGTCAGTGCTTCGTGCCAAGGTCAGTCAGTGCTTCGTGCCAAGGTCAGTCAGTGCTTCGTGCCAAGGTCAGTCAGTGCTTCGTGCCAAGGTCAGTCAGTGCTTCGTGCCGGTCAGTCAGGCTTCGTGCCAAGGTCAGTCAGTGCTTCGTGCCAAGGTCAGTCAGTGCTTCGTGCCAAGGCAGTCAGTGCTTCGGCCAGGTCAGTCAGTGCTTCGTGCCAAGGTCAGTCAGTGCTTCGTGCCACGGTCAGTCAGTGCTTCGTGCCAAGGTCAGTCAGTGCTTCGTGCCACGGTCAGTCAGTGCTTCGTGCCAAGGTCAGTCAGTGCTTCGTGCCAAGGTCAGTCAGTGCTTCGTGCCAAGGTCAGTCAGTGCTTCGTGCCAAGGTCAGTCAGTGCTTCGTGCCAAGGTCAGTCAGTGCTTCGTGCCAAGGTCAGTCAGTGCTTCGTGCCAAGGTCAGTCAGTGCTTCGTGCCAAGGTCAGTCAGTGCTTCGTGCCAAGGTCAGTCAGTGCTTCGTGCCAAGGTCAGTCAGTGCTTCGTGCCAAGGTCAGTCAGTGC